TTTTGGTTTTGACTCATTGGAGTTTATTATATATTCTGGATAGGAATTCTTTGTCAGATAGATATATTGTACAAGTACATACATGGGTAGGAAAATTCAAATTGAAAATATTGACAATAGCATCCAAAAACCTAAACTGGGTAGGAATAATATAATGAAAGATGCAAAACACCTTTACACAGAAAACCTTAAAACGTTGTTGAGAGAAGAATTCAAGAAGACTGAAATAAATGGCAGATATGCTTTGTTCATACATTGGAAAATTTGATGTTTTGAGATTCCTGTTCTCCCTGACTTGATCCGTGGAATCAGTGCAATCACCGTCAAAATCCTAGCCATCTTTTTTTTTAGAAGAAATTAACAGATTGTTTCAAAAATGTATATGGAAACGTGAAGGGTCTTGAATATCCAAAAAAGTCTTCAAACGAAGAGCAGAGTTGAAGAACTTAAACTGCTTAATACTGCTTAATTTGAACACTTGCAGTAAAGCCACAGCAATCAAAGTCTTTGGCATAAAGACAGATCAATGACACAGAATAAAGAGTCCAAGAAATAGACCAAACACAAGTACTGTTGGTTGATCTTCACCCAGATTGTCAAGCCAATTCGGTGGGCGAAAGGGACGTCTTTTTTTTTTTTTAATTTTTTTTTCAACGTTTATTTATTTTTGGGACAGAGAGAGACAGAGCATGAACGGGGGAGGGGCAGAGAGAGACGGAGACACAGAATCGGAAACAGGCTCCAGGCTCTGAGCCATCAACCCAGAGCCTGACGCGGGGCTCGAACTCACGGACCGCGAGATCGTGACGTGGCTGAAGTCGGACGTTTAACGGACCGCGCCACCCAGGCTCCCCAAGAGACGTCTTTTTAATGAATAATTCTGGTCAATTGTCACTGACAATAGTCAAGTGGAAACAAAATGGACCTTAGCCCCTACCTTGTTCTGTACACATTAATTTGGGATGGATCATAAACCAAAAAGAAAGCTAGAACCATAAATATTTTATATGAAACCATGAGAGCATATGTTGACAACCTTGAGGTAGGCAAATGTTTTGGATACAGAACAAAAAAAAAAAAAAGCACTAATTACAAAGAAAAAATGGATGCACTGAGAAAATGAACAGGGAAGACAGACTGGGAGAAAATATTCAGACTACATGTGCTTAAATGTTTTATTTTTTCCAAAAGAACTTCAGCATTATTCAGGCCCATGACATCCTGTTACTATATTCTGTATTAACTGGGTTTTTTGTTTGCTTAAGTCAGATATTAGACATTGTACCATGGGAACTTTCTGATTGACTTCTCCTACTTAACTCACCCTCTTGTGAATGTTGGTTCCTTTTTCATAAATGCCTTGCCCACTAGTCAGTGAGTACTTACAGTGGAGGCAGTAGATTTTAGATCATATTAATCCTTGTAAAGTAATTGGGTGTTAGCTGAAGCCAAAAGGCAATACCAGTAGCCTCTTTTGGGAAGAAACGATAGCCTGTGAGTTAATTGAGGCTCAGTTTTGTTTTGTTTTTTTTTTTATCTGATTCAATACTTAAGGCCTTGTGGATGTGTGAAAGACTTGTCCAAAGTAAGACAATGGAGAGTGGGGGTGGGGTGGGGCAGGGAGAAACCAGGCTCTAGATTAAAGCTCAGCACCCTTTCCACCCCCCCCCCCACAACACGCTGACACAGAAGCTGGCCCTGATTCATAATTTAGTGGCTGTGCAGGCCTAGGTCTCTTTATTTCTGCTGCTCACGGGTCCACTGCTCTGGGGTCAGAGTTTTCTGCTCAAAGGCATGGATGTGCAGAAGCTCTTCTGCTAGGCACGTGTTCACCAGCCTGGGGGAAAGATGGGGTTAGGAAACGGTAGGTGGAGGCCTGAGTCGCGATCCCAGAATGTAGGGTGATCAGGGAGACTGGAGGTGTCTCCCAGGTTGTGTCGCCAGGACGTGCGGACCAAAGAGGAAGAGGGCCTAAGTGTCAATACAGGGGCCACGAAGGCGGCATCCTTGGGGTCGTGGTTCACCGTGCGGGGCCGCACTGGTGGGGGTTAGGGAGTTAGGTTGAGGGGAGTGGCCAAGGTTGTGGTCCCGGCGCTGGGGTCGCGCTGAGTGAAGGGCTCCCGGGGCCTCACCGGTGTCTTTGAAGCAGCGGCTTCCCCTCGAACTTGGCCGACACCACCAGGACTCGGAAGCTGGACGCGCAACGGTTGGGAGTCGTGTCCTCGACTTCCTATGGGGAACAACGGTGTGGGGAGTATGAAACCCGCCCCTCAGGCCCTCTTTCCCCCTCGTTGGGCGAATCTAGACCGCTCAACTCACCACGTGCTCTGCCTCAAGGTCCCGCTGCAGCTTCTCCCGGAGGTACTCGGCGCTGAGTTCCATTGCAGCAGCCCTGAAGGGGAGGCAGCCCAGCGGGGATGGAATCCCAGCTCCCACGTAGCCACACCGCTTCCGCCCTTACTGACGCCACTTCCGTCAGAGTCTCGACTTCCGCCCTTACTAAGGCGTTTGTAAACCCGGCACTTCCGCCCTCACGCAAGTCCAGCTTTCCAACAGTCCTAGGTTTCCGCGCTTACCATCAGCCAGCCAAGGTCAGCCCAAGGACCGAATCGGGCGCTAATAAGTGCCCGCCGCCTGCACAGCAGCCCGGGTCCCGTGGGCCGGTTTGGACACCCTAGCACCAGTCAGTCAGGAGAGGGTGCGCGAATCTGCATTGCCGTGGCCTCTAGGGTATCTCGGGATCGCCTCCAAACGCTTTTTCCGAGACAGGCATCTTGCGGCCCTGGCAACTCAGTCCTCCCTAAGGTCATAGGCTACAGCAATCAACCCACAAGTCCCGATGGGCCCTGGGGGGGACGCGGTGAGGCCCGGGCGCTTCTTCGGCGTCTATCTGCTCTACTGCCTGAACCCTCGGCACCGGGGTCGCGTCTACGTGGGGTTCACCGTCAACCCTACTCGTAGGGTCCAGCAGCACAACGGGGGCCGCAAGAAAGGAGGGGCCTGGAGGACCAGCGGGCGCGGGCCCTGGTAAGAGGGAGTGGATTGCTGTCTGGAGCAGGGCTTCCAGGGAGAGGCAGGCTCTGAGGAGAGGCCTGCCGAGAGGGGCGAGGCCAAGCCAGTGACAGTGGGCGGAGCCGGTGCGGTGGCTGAGAGCAGGGCCAGGATGCGAGTTCCTGGTGCAATGACACCAAGGGTGGAGGAGCACGGTGGGGAGGCGGAGCCCTGTGAAACTCGGCTGTGGGACTATGAGGCAGGGATTGAGTGAGAAGGGGACTGAGGATCTAGGTTGGTCCGGTGACAGCGGCTGATGAACAAGGCTGGGGTTGTATCAGAGAGAGTCTGCAAGGGAGAGGACAGGGGGAGGGCAGGAGGCGGGGCCTGTGCTGGAGGCGGGGCCTGAGGTTGGCAGGTGGGAGAGGATGCACCTTCGCGAAGGGGGCGGGGCCTCGCGGACTAGGCTTGAAGCCTGGCATGAGGACTTCACTCTCAGGTAGGACTGGGGGTGAATCATGGCGAGGGGGTTCAGCTTGACGCGGGGTGAGGCGGGGGGCTCACAGGCCGCGCCCTCGTTCTTTTCCCCAGGGCGATGGTGCTTATCGTGCACGGCTTCCCTTCCGCCGTGGCCGCCCTTCGGGTAAGAAAGGAGACGGGGACGGTGGGAGAATGGGCTGGGGCTTCGGGCCTTCCCCTGGCGGCCCCCTTCCTGGGGCGTCCCTGAAGCCCCTACTCTCCGCCCGCAGTTCGAGTGGGCCTGGCAGCACCCGCAAGCCTCACGCCGCCTGGCTCACGTGGGCCCGCGCCTGCGCAGCGAGGCCTCCTTCGCTTTCCACCTGCGCGTGCTGGCACACATGCTGCGCGTGCCGCCTTGGGTGCGCCTCCCGCTCACCGTGCGCTGGCTGCGCGCCGACTTCCGATGTGACCTCTGCCCACCGCCACCGCCGCACATGCCGCTGACCTTTGGGCCTCCGCCGCCCCGCGCCGCGGCCCCGAAGCGCCGCGCCGGACCCTTAGCTGACCTGGAGTCCGAGCCTGACCAAGATGCCGAGGCCTGCTGCGCCCTGTGCGCGCGCTCCTTCCAGGTGAGCGGCTCCACCTGGCCTTCAGGGTTCAGACGACTTGGGATCCAGCTGTTTATTGAGGGACCGGGCAGCCCACTGACACCTTTTGCCCTCGTTTCTCAAATGGGGATGAGCCTACTTGCTGCCATTCCTCAGAATCAGTACCCTCCTGCTCAGGGCCTGTGCCTTTCCCCTTTGACTGTAAGGCTCTTCCCTAGACTTTCCGTCTTTATCAAGTGCCACCTTCCCCTTCTCCATGAAGTCTTCCTCGGCTCTCCATCTAAAACTGCAATTCTTTCTTGTACACTTCCTTGCCTTTTTTTTTTTTTTTTTTAACCTAAACACTTATTGTTTAACATGCTAGGTGTTTTATTCATCTTGTCAGTTTCTCCCACCGCCCATACAAGGCCAGGTCTTGTTCACTGCCGTAGAAAAGGGTCCGGAAAACAGACAATACATATTTAACAGATTAACTGAAAGGATGGGCCTGACTTCTTCGGAGCTCTCAGGAAATGTAAATTGAGTACCTGCCATTCAGAGATTAAGTGACCTGCCTGAGGTCGGTTAGCTGGAAGAACTATAGATGTGGCCGCAGTGGCCGTGCTGTTTATATAATCACTGCCCATGGGGCGGCCGGGTGGCTCAGTCGGTCAGGCATCCGACTTCAGCTCAGGTCATGATCTCGTGGTTTGTGAGTTCCAGTCCGGCATTGGGCTCTGTGCTGACAGCTCGGAGCCTGGAGCCTGCTTTGGATTCTGTGTCTCTCCATCTGTCAGCCCCTCCCCTGCTCATGCTCTGTGTCTGTCTCTCAATAATAAATAAACGTTAAAAAAAATTTAAAAAATATATAATCACTGCTCATGCTGAGAGGAAACTGATTAGCTTGGTCTCTGTGGGCAAGTGCTGTAACCTCTCCGTGCTTCAGTTTCATCTATAAAATGCAAATAGCAGTAGTATGTGCCTCACAGGATTGTTTAATGCAAAGCCCCTGGAACAGTATCTGGTCCATAGAAATTCTGAGTGTTTAGCTACATCATTCCTCCCGCTTTTCTCTCTTCCCTGCCTACCACCTCTGACAGGACGAAGAGGGCCCCCTGTGCTGCCCCCACCCTGGCTGCCGCCTCAGGGCCCACGTGATCTGCCTTGCAGAGGAGTTCCTGGAGAAGGAGCCAGGGCAGCTTCTGCCCCTAGAGGGTCAATGCCCTGGGTGAGTCCAGCACCCCTGCCCCAGCCTGGCCTACCTTTGGGAGGATGGTGTCGGTTGTCCAAGTCCAGGCCCAGGGCAGCCGAGTCCTTATCTTGGCACTCAGGGCCTAGCCTGGAAGAGGCTTGTGATCCTGACTGTGTCTCCTACCAACTGCACCCCTTGGTAGCTGTAAGAACTCACTGCTGTGGGGAGACCTGATCAGGCTGTGCCAGATGGGCACCGAGGAGGAAGAAGAGAACTTGGAATTAGAAGAGGTGAGAGGTGGCTTTGGCCCCAGCCTCCCCCTCCCCCGCCCCACCCCCCCAGGCTGCCTTTGACCGGTCCTCTTGTTTCCACAGGAACACTGGACAGACATGCTGGAGACCTGATCCTCCGCCCACTGCTTGTTTGTGCCACCCCTGTGGGTCTGGGCGGTTTTTACTGAGCACAATAAAGAGTCTTGAGTTAACGGAACTTCCTGTTGTTTGCTGGGGGCTGGAGGCAGAGGCCCTGCCAGTCACTGGGGCCTGAAGAGAAGAGCAGAGGCAGGGAGAGGCTGCTGGCCTGTGTGGATGAGCCTCTCCTCTTTCTGGAGGCCCGGGTGCCTCAGCTGTCCCTAGCACGCTTCTGACATCACACAATGCTTTGCTTGGGGGCCACACTCTTGACTCAGAGCCCATCCAAATCCAGTGCCCAGCTTGACTCTGGACTTTAATACAAATAGGAAGGACAGAGGCCAAGAGTGCGGTGGAAGGGGGAGGGGGATACTCTACCCCCATGGGGCCCCGTGGCTCTCTAAGCCCCAACTCCTTCTTGTCTCTGTCTGCAGAGCCCCTTCAGACCCAGTGAGAGAAAAGCACCTTCTGGGGGCCATGGTTCTTTTACCAACCATGAATGAATCTCCATGAAATCCCTTGGGAATCATGAAGCTGGACTCACTCCCAGGGTTATTAGACTCGACATTCTTCCTCCCTTTTCTGCTCCACCCCAGACTCTGTCACGCTGCCCACCCACATTGCTCTGTACTGGCCTTGCTGTCAGAGGTCAAGAGTAACAGTTTTTAGAATCCCTGGGCTGCTGGGGGCCTGTGCGCCACCCCTGGCCTGAACCTTTGGCATCTCCAAGACTGGCCTGGAGCCAGCCAGGAAGGTGAGTGACCCTGCTCACGGGAGTGTCCCATTTTTCCTCTCCACCCTGCCCCCTCTCCACTGGCTGGATCCATTAGAAAAAGCTGTTGGTTGGCCCGCCCTGCAGGGGTGGAGTTTGGAAGGCAGGTCAGGAGCCAGGATTACAGCTTGAAAAAACCCCCAAAAGACAAAAATGAAAGCTTACTGGGCCCTGTTGTCTAGATTCACTCTTATTTTCTGCATGCTAAACTCGTATCTTGGATTTTCGGGTCAGTCTAAGCTTGGCTCTGGCTAAGGTGCTGAGGAGGGGAGCACAGGGGGGCCCTCCCACTCTAAACTCCACCCTTTCCTTCCTGGAGGACGGCCAGATCCCAGTGCTAGCTCCAGAGACCTCCCACTTTGGACTTAGAAACGCTTCAGCTCAGAAAGCAGTTCTGTACTCCCCACAACTGCACCCAGTAAGCCACAGCACAAAGGAGCCACAAGGCCAAGATCCAGAGAGGTGCGGTGAGTGCTGGGGTGGGCTGGGCTGGGCCAGACCTCCCTCACTTGGCGTCGCTAGCTCCTCTCTCTCCAGATCCTCTCTCTCTGCTGCTGCCTCTGATGGCATGGCATCCTTGTGCTTTCCCTCGGGAAAGCAGTCTGCCAACCGCAACCCGGTCCGAAACCCCCTTCCGTGACTCCTCTCTTTTGCTCATCTACATCTCAGACTTTAGCCCCTAAAAGAAGCTCAGTTGCTCAGCTGGCTGTGTTTATCTCCGAGCCAAGATGGAGTGTGGTTGGACAAGTGGGGTCACAGGCTGGCCTTTGGGATGTTTCCACATGTGAGGGGCCCAAGGAGCTCCAGGGGATGACAGGGCGAGGAGGCCAGTGCAGTAGGCCAGGGACTGAAGCAGGAAGTAGTATGAAAAAGAAAACAGGCGGGGACTTAGGACAGGCAGCCTCTAGAGTAGTTTTCTCAAGTGCACACTGGAATCTGGAGAGCTTCCCAAAAACTGGGATTGGGCCCCCAGAGTGATTTAACTGGTTTGGGGTGTGGCCCCAAGCTCTGGGATTTTTCAGGCCCTTCAGGTGAAGGTGCAGCCGGCGTTGTGACCCTCTGCAGGTTACGTGTGGCTTTGGACCCCAGCCCCCGCCGCTCGCTAGCCTTGTGAGTGGGGGCAAGTCACCCAGCCTTCAGTCCCTTATCTTAAAGCAAAGGTTTCAGTAGATGGCATGTTGTGATGTTAAGGGAAGTAAGCTGCACTCTGGCCCCTGACGCAGCGGCATGGAGCTGGTCCCGGACACCTCACGCCCACCACTGCAGTACGTGAAGGGGATCCCTCTCATCAAGTACTTTGCCGAGGCACTGGGGCCACTGCAGAACTTCCAGGCCCAGTCCGATGACCTGCTTATCAGCACCTACCCCAAATCTGGTAAGTGATGAGGGCCACCCACCCCTCTCCTGGGCCACAAGTCCTGCGTTGGGCCAGCAGGGGGCCACCCGCAGCCCTGTCTGTCTCCTCTTTCCCTGCTCTCCAGGCACCACCTGGGTGAGCGAGATCCTGGACATGATCTACCAAGGTGGCGATCTGGAGAAGTGTCGCAGGGCCCCCGTCTTTATCCGGGTACCCTTCCTTGAGTTCAAGGCTCCAGGGATTCCCACAGGTGTGCAGTAGGGCTCTAGGGCCACGTGGAACGGAGGGAGGAGGCAGGACTGGGCTCTAGCTCGGCAGACCTTTCCCCACCCACGGCACAGGTATGGAGGTTCTGAAAGACACACCGGCCCCACGAATCATCAAGACGCACTTGCCCCTGGCCCTGCTCCCTCAGACCCTGCTGGATCAGAAGGTCAAGGTGAGTGGCAGAGGAAGCCATCCCAGTTTTGGTCCTGAGAGGAAGGTCTCATCTTAAGGGGGGAGGCTGTCTGCCCCATCCTGTGGTAGAAGTCGATGAAAGTGAGCCTCCTCTGTGCAGAGCTGTGAAACGCAGTCTTCTCTGCAGGCCTCCCCAGGCCCGCAGAGGAGGGGGCTGGTGACAGTGGGGCACGCCTGGTTCCAAATCTGGGTGTGGCGGCACTGAGGGGATTAGATTAGCATCAAATAGGGTTCCGGGGACACAAACAAGTCAGCCTCTAAGCCAGTTTCCCCTCTGGTCAGACCAGGGATAACTTCCCTCACAGGGATGCTGTGAAAGGTGGAACATCCAGTGCCTGGCTCGCTGTGTGGTGATGATGCGTGGGTGTGTGTGTGGGGGGGGGGGGGTCGTCTGCCCCTCCAGGTGGTGTATGTTGCCCGCAACGCAAAGGATGTGGCTGTCTCCTATTACCACTTCTACCGCATGGCCAAGGTGCACCCTGACCCTGACACCTGGGACAGCTTCCTGGAGAAGTTCATGGCCGGAGAAGGTGGGGCTCAATCTGGAGGAAGGAGTGGGGTGGAGCTGAGCAGCGGTCAGTCAAAACTAATGCCAGCTCTGTGTCCCTGCCCCTGCCCTTTCCCCAGTGTCCTACGGGTCCTGGTATCAGCACGTGCGGGAGTGGTGGGAGCTGAGTCATACCCACCCTGTTCTCTACCTCTTCTATGAGGACATGAAAGAGGTGAGGTCACCTGCTGCCACTTCTCTCCAGAGAGCCAAGAAGCCCACAGGGACCTGCCGAGGCCCTCTCAGCCACCTTCCCCATGGCAGCCCCCACGTCAGTCCCCGGGACCCCCCCAGCCCGCCTTCCCGCCCGGGACATGGAGCTGCGGTGCCACCCGGGGGGCAACACTGTAGGGCTCGTCTCAGACCGGAGCGACACCTCGCCACCCACTGGCCATTTGCTGCCGCTGTTCTCCCTGGGGCCAGAGTTCTGAGAGACGACTGTCCCTGCCCTCACCCGTCCCTGCCCTCACCCGTTGGGACCCAGGCAGAGTTTGTTACAGGGTCACAGGGCGGTGGCAGTTAATGTGCCTCCAGGGAAGGCAGGCCCAAGGAGCTGGGGCCGGGAGGGCCGGAAGCGGAAGCGGCCAGGTCCCCCAAGGGGTTGGGAGGCCCCCTTTTGTTTGCTCAATGAGCGATCCCAACCTCTACTGAAGAGCCCCTCTGCTGCTCCAGAACCCTAAAAGGGAAATTCAGAAGATCCTGGAGTTTGTGGGGTGCACCCTGCCAGAGGAGACCGTGGATCTCATCACCCAGCAAACGTCTTTCAAGGAGATGAAGAAGAACCCCATGGCTAACTACACCACCATACCCCCTGACATCATGGATCACAGCGTTTCGGCCTTCATGAGGAAAGGTGAGCGCCCGGGCGGCTGGCCGGGCGGGGAGGCAAGCGTGGAAGCAGAGCGAGAGCTGCCCGAGCCACCCGGGGCCGCCTCTGCCGCCAGGACGCACAGCCACGCTGCCCTTCTTCCTCGTGCCCACAGGCGTCGCGGGGGACTGGAAGACCACCTTCACCGTGGCCCAGAACGAGCGCTTTGACGCCCACTATGCAGAGAAGATGGCGGGCTGCAGCCTCCGCTTCCGCACGCACCTGTGAGTGGTGCTCCCCGAGGCACGCCCGCGGCCCCGCTGCTGTGACCCGGCCTGACCCCGAGGTCGAGAATAAAATTCCGTTTGTGTTAACACCCTGAGTCTCTAATGCGAGCAAAGAGCAAACCTCAACTGAAACTAAATGCCTGCTGGGACCAGATGCGGCCATCTCCTCCGCGGCCTCCAATTCCCCAACTTGTCCTGTCAGGAGGAGGGGGAGAAGGGCCTGGAAAAGCAAAGCCAAGGAGACATGGGCAAAGGGGAACAATATTTATTTGATCACAAAATCTTCTGTTGCACTCCCCTGTGAGGATGGCAGGAGATTTGGAGTCTGCCAGCCCACTTCACTTTTTCTTGGGCTCCTTACAAGCCACCACGTACCTCTGGGCCACATTGAGGGGAGGGGAGTAACCATCCGCATAGGAGGTGTCTTCAAACAGGACTGAATAGTCATCCTGGGGCTGCAGTAGGGGGCAGACAGGAGGGGCTGGTCAGAGACCCCCAGACGAGGCCCTGTGCCGAGAATGAGCAGAACCTCTGGGGCTCCCAGCCTCTCCTGTCCCCAACCTTGCTCAAAAAGTCTAGATGTTTGAACCTAATCCCTGCTAGGACGGAGTTCTTTTCTCAGCAACAAAGAGCAAGCAGGAGGGAGACTTACTGTCTATATGGGGAGATCCTACATAGAGGATCTGGTGCCTTTTGAGGACCCTCTGTTAAGGGGATCAAGAAAAACCCAGAGGGCAGGAGGCAGGAATCCTGGAGGAAGAGGGGAGAAGGGCCTTTCCCCCACCATGAGGTGAAGGGTGACCAGCATGAGGGAGCGCAGCCGGGGACGGAGAAAGGGCCCCGGCACGGGCCTTCCCATCTCAGGGCTGCCTGTCAAAATGCACAGGTGAGGTGAGACTAGGGGACTCGTGGGTCACATTCCACTCAGGGCCTGCTGGGACTCTGAAGGTGGGAGAGGGGTTGGCTGGCACTGCCGTAGGGGGCAGGGCTGGAGGGCAGCTGCGGGGAAGTGTGAGCAGGAGACAGGGCAACGCACGGGACCCTCCTAGCTCAGAGACGCTGGAGGAGATGGTCAGGAGGGGAGGGAGGTAGACAGTGACCCCATGACTCATGGGGTCAGCCCAGCCGTCGTGTCCTGTGCGGTCTCTCCCGTGGGGGCTGCTTACCCGTTGTGGGGGCGTGTGGATCAGGGCACGGTAGAAGCAGGTGGTCTGGGGATACAGGGCCAGTACGAGCTGCTCCTTCTGAAATAAGGCTTCAGGGTCCGTCTCGGGGTTGGCCTTCCACTGGGGCAGTGGGATGATGCGCCGCCGGCTCAGGGTATGTCTCCTGGGGGATGGGGGGCTTAGGTCAACCCACGGCCAGGCAGGGGCTCCTTCCCAGCAGCTTCCATGGTCCCGCCCTGACCAGCACACTCACTCTTTGCCTTCTTCGTCGATGTCATCTACCTCATACCTGGCGAGCAAAAGGAAAACGGTGGATGCAGGGAGGTGCGCCAAGTCGGGGAGCCACGAGCGGGGCAGGGAAGGGCCCAAGGAGCCTGCTGCATACACCGTCCCCGTCCCCACAGGCACCCCGAGGGAAGCCCTTCTCCCATCCTGCACGTGGGGGAGGGGCAGCCGCACAGTTGTAAGGGGAGCGCAGACGGAGGCGTGGGTGTCGACTCACTTGTTGGTGGCATGGCTGTAGCTGACCACCTCGGCCAGGATCCACTGCTCGTCCCCATCCACAGCCTTTACCCGGGCAGCCACCTTGTCTCCAGGTTTGGCCACGTAGTCGCCAGAGGCTGGAATGGCCCCACAGAGGGGCGGGGGCCTGAGGGTGGGACAAGGTGTTAGGTCCAGCCCCTCCCACTTATCAGCTCCCTCCACCCCGGGGGCCTGCCCTCACTTGTCACCAGGCTTCCCGATCCACAGGGGCAGGGTCATGGCCGACTGCTGCAGCAGGGTCATCAGCACCCCCCTGCGCATGGTCTTCCGAGGGGGCTCCGAGTCATTGTACAGGCCCGCAATCTTGGCCGCTGTGGGAAGGAAGCGAGCCCCTGAGGCACCGGGGTCGGGGCGCCTCCCCCAGGCCCACCCGTGCACTGAGCTGCCAGTGGAGCTCGGCCTGGAACCCCAGCTCCCGAGTTAGCAGCAAGGGCCCAGATGGGATCCCGGCCCCTTCCGCCAGATGCCCGCGGAGAAACACTTGCGGACTACTCCCACGGACCGGTGAGATGTCGGGTCCGGGGGGTCCCTTGGTGCGAAGGACGAAAGAGGGCAAAAAGGGGGACTTCTGAGATGCTGGTCACATCAGATGTTCAGTCAGTGAAAATTTCACAGAGCTGTGTGTACAATTAGGTGTGCTTTTCTACTATTAGAATGTGCTGTTATTCCACATAAAGGTAAAAGAACTTTAGGTTCCTCAGTCAGACCCTTGACCTCCTCAGGCATGGCGCCACACACCCAGTCAACCTCACACGGACCCCGCTGGCGGTGTGACACGTTTGACGGGGGAGGCGACTGCCCGCTGTGGGCTCACTGAATGTTACGGTAAGAGAGGTGGGAGAGCCGGGGCGGCCTGAAGGGATCTGGAAGCCAGCACCTGTGTAAACTCCATCCTAGAACGGCCCTCACAGAGCAGCCAGGGTTTACGACAGAAAGAAGTGCGAGTGGAGGTAGCGGGAAGCAGGCACCTGCCCAGGCCCAAGAGGAAGGGAGACGAGCATGGGTGGGGGGATGAAACCTTCCAGGTCTGCACAGGGACGCTGGGGAGCCCCTGCCTCTGAGCAGGGGAGCGTCTCCATTCCCTCCCAGACCCGGGCTGCACAGATGCGCTCCCCCCATCGGAAGTCCATGGAACGAGCACACAGGGCTGAGGCTGCAGGGAGCCGTGGCTGCTGCTCTCAGAAGCCTCACTCAGCCTGGTCAAGACGCATCTCCGACTCACCGATCCGCCTTTCCTCCAACAGAGACTTGATTTCTGCTATCTTATCTAGAGCTTTCCGGAGGATACTGAGGGTGGGGAGAAGGGAGAGAAGGCGTCAGGATGAAGCACAAAGCACAGACTTCCGTCTCTGCTTACAGCAGGCTGGGTAACTCAGATCAACCCTACTGCCAAAAACTATAAACCCTAAGTGCTTATTTATTTATTTCTTAATGTTGATTTTTGACAGAGAGAGAGGGAGGAGAGGAGAGGAGACAGAGTGTGAGTGGGGGAGGGGCAGAGAGAGAGGGAGACACAGAATCACAAGCAGGCTCCAGGCTCCGAGCTGTCAGTACAGAGCCCGACGCGGGGCTCGAACTCAAGAACTGTGAGATCATGGACCTGAGCCAAAGACGGACGCTTAACCGACTGAGCCACCCAGGCACCCCTATTTATTTGGTTTGGTTTGTTTATTTATTTTAATTTTAAGTAATCTCTACACCCAACGTGGGTCGGGGGTCAAACCTCCAATCCCAAGATCAAGAGTCACATGTTCCACTGACTGAGCCAGCCAGGCACCCGTGTTTTTTTAATTTTAAAAGCATAAAAGAACCGATAAGGTAGTGAGAGGAAGCAGGCCAAAGAATCCAAGAGAATCGCAGAGAGGCAAGCAAAGCAGAGAGAACTGCATCTGACAAAGCCTGAAGAAAGCATGTTACAGGTCTGGCTGCTTTGAACAGTCTGGAGATTCTCAGGGTGGAAGTTAAGGCTCGGGGTCTGCCCACGCTGGGACGTGTAAAAGGAGACACTCCAGAGGATTGTGGGGAGTCTTCTCAGCTCAGAGCAGGGGTATGGGTAGAAGGAATCTGTCTCCAAAAGGCCACAGCCCCACTAAACCTCTGGAGTTAACTTACGGGGTTCCAGAGTGGTTGGGGCCCAGGCAATCCAGCAGACTGAACACAGTTCTCGCTGGAGGAAGATTTCTTTATCCTAGATCTTGAGGACTCTTCCCCAAAAAGTATTTCAATAGGACTAAGCAGCACAGACTCCATTTTGGGTCATTTATTCTCCTCTCCCATAGCTATTCCTCTAGTAAACCTTTAGTAAATGCCCCTGTAGTTCTGAAGGCCTTCATTTAGCAGGAGGGAGACAAATAAGAACACAGCACGATACAGCCTCGCAACTGTGTCCTGCTGGGTCCCAGGCTCTCGTGGAGCTTGTCAGGCAGATGGAGTGGGGCAGTCCAAAGCAGGGAGGGGTGGACATGTCACCAGATATGCCTGCAGCATCACAGTTCAGCGCGGCAGGCACAGGACACAGGGAGGGCTCAGCCAGGGCCACTGCAGGCCGGGAGCACTGGGACACAGGGCAGTCAGGCACCAGGACAGGAGGGGAGTAAAAGCCAGGAGGCCAAAGGGAACCTGGGAGTCTGACCATTGCTGCTGGGCCTGTCTGAAGAACACAGCTCTATGCAGTATGTCTTAAACTGTACTCTGTGAGACATTAATGGAGTGGGTCTCAACCACATCAGAATCCCCTGGGGAGCTTTAAGAAAAAGAATCCCAATTGTTGTGAACAAGAACCATAAACAGATGCCAACGCTAAGAGACAGCTTGACCTGGAATATTTACATAATCTCGATGATCTCCCATAAGAGACTTACTAACTACACAATGGAAAACGGCCATAACCCTGGAAAAAAGTGGACGAGACCTCCTTCCTATGGAACAGGTCAAGACTAGAGCGCCACCTCTGGTCTGCAGCCTGGAACAACATCTATGCCGCAAGCGCCCGCAGCCAACGGTCAGCTGTCCAGGGCCCCGCACCTGGTGCGGAAGGACCATCCTCAGACCACAAATCATTCTCTCCTCTGGGGACCTGCCGTGTTAGCCTGGGAGTCGTTCAGGCCCTTGGGAAGCTAACCTACACCTCTGCCTGCGCCAGCCGAGCCAGGGCTAAAACCATCTTCCCCAGCCGGAACTCGGGGTGGTTGGAAGCCACTGTCTGTGGCCAAAGTATCACTGAGGACCCCATCCCTCCCACTCTTGCGGAAGGCCTTTTGCACTAAGGCTAGAAAATAATTTGTTCCTGCCTGGGAATGGCTGCCTAATTCTGGAAAGTGAAATCTTTGATCTTGTTGCCCTCTGACCTCTGCAGCCAGTGTGCAACCTCAAGCCCTTTA